GCAAAAACCATAAAAAACGACCGCCAAACGAAAATTGTTTGTTTCCTTTTATGCAAAATTTACGATGATTTACGGGATGGAGAGCAGAAAATAGGCGTGAAGAAACAACCACTCATGCAATTAACCTAATTACTTCAAGTTTGGTGCAAAAATGCGTGATCGCACTGACTCGCGTGGTGCGTTCCAGCCCGTGTTGCTTTGTCTGCTCGTATTTAACGCTCTTCCACGTAATTCGAAACAGTTTTTCTTCCTGTTCTCATTTACTTCTATATTTCCCAGTAAGATGCTGAGTAAGACGCTTGTGTTATTATTTGTCTGTAAATGAGTTTTAATGAAATTCTCCCACCCACTTCCTTCTTTTACTTCTATATTTCCCAGCCATATTCCTCAAACTATTTCAAGTGCACTTTACACCCAACTACGGTTCGCTGTGCATAATATATTCTGAATGCGGAAGTAATTTCACTGCTGCAAGATGAGTAAAGGAACAGAGTAGGATGAAGATGGAAAGAGAGAAAAGGAATTAGTGTTGTATAAAAATGTCTGCTGAGTCTGCTTGTGTTATTATTTGTCTGTAAATGAGTTTTGATGAAATTCTCCCACCCACTTTCTTCTTTTCGAAAAAGCGCACATTTCGGAGAGCTGGACGATCCGGAGTGCTGAGTGTGGGTCGACTAACAAACAGTCAACAGGCAACAGGATCAACTGTAGTAAAAACGGGAAAGAAAGGTGAAAGGAGTAATTCGAAAAAGTAAATATCCGAAAACCAGTGCACGAGAAGAGATGGGCAGTCGCATTGGGAAAGGTGTGTCCCTCAGCGGAAGCATGACCACTTAAATATCATCGATATAGCCTTTGATTCGGTCATTTCAGCTAGTCACTCTCGCTCTCTTTCATCAAGCCCCTTCCCGCTTGCTTTGATGTTTTACGGGTTGCTATTGTTCCATGCAAATTTACAGCCTTTGCGTAGCTTACCGGTCTTAAAGGTGCAACAAATGGAAAATGGGGTCAGGAAGGTGATTTGAAGCTTTATTTGCCGCACACTTCCTTGTTGCAACTGCGGTGCATGAATTACTAGAGAGAAGGGAGAAGCTGCGCATACCTATATGTTTATGTATATGTACAGTGGAATGAAGGTATTAGTCCGAAATTTTTTATGAAAAAGTGAGATTTTTATCTGCCTTTGCTGAATAAGCCATTTCCTTTGCTACGAATCAACAGAATAGCGTTGTACAGATAACAGAGTCTTTTTGGTCGCATATTACATCAGAAGAATGCATTTTAGGACCGAAAGGCCGGTCTGCGGGAGCATCCCGGTAATATCACTAACCGGAATGCCATACTGATGCCCTGGCAGTCTCAGTACTTTTAACCGCCCTATCTTAGGCTTTGAAAAGTCCAGTGGCTGCATATGTAATACTTACGATACTATCTTTTCACCTCATGAGCAGCTTTTATGAGTCCGATACTTAATACTCTCGTTACATTATTATGCCCATTACAGTGTTGATAAGCTTTGTCATTAAATCACATACTACTGAAAATAAAGTTTTTTTTTTTTACAATTTTTCTTTAAGATCAATTGGAGAAAATCCAGAGCGTATCAATGATTTAAAATAATCGCCAAATTTTCATTATGCGTCTTTGCATGTATGTAAATGCAACCCAGGCTGGAAAGCAAAAAGCTTGCTGGTGCGATCATGCGTTTTTGGACCGGACTTAAGCACTCAGGTCGTTAAGTGCATGAATTGTGCTCACTAGCGCGATTCGCTTAACAGTAGTTTTTATGCATTTTTGCCATGCAGCGCTAGAGCGCTGCAACAAGCAGCAAAAAGGCATATTGCAACGACCCTGTCAGTGTGTGTGTGTGTGTTCGTCGTCCGGTTATTTCAACTCCCTAACCGCGCAAGCTTTGAAACTGACATTTTGCAAGTATATTCCCCAATAGGTGCCATCCCAGGACTGCAGTTTCAACCCTCACGCGCGTCTGGGCTCCGCGTGCGAACACATGAAAGTTTTGGCGCGAAAATCGCTAACTCGGGAACGAGGAAAGCTAGAAAGCTGAAACCTTGAGAGAATGTTCCCCACCCGTATACGACAAAAAGGTTTCGAATTCAGTTGCCCAGCACTGCCCGGGGCTCACGTACGGGCAAGTGAAAATTATGGCGGGAAAATTCATAACTCGAGAATGAG